TCGCTTCCATCGCGAAAAAGCGCAGACGATTACGACATGACGTTACACGACGTACACACAAACCCCTTAGGTATCCAACGCTCACACACGCTCATACAAGTATATGCACATCTATGAAGGTATCCCAGCGCTTGCGCAACCCGTGCCTTCACATGTACCATTACGTGCTTTACTACGAACGTTACTACGACGAGTACTACCACCGTAGCGTACCGTGAGGCTGAGCAAGCTGAACATTGTAAACTGTAGGCTGAAGCTCGATAATCCCACGGTACTGAAGAGTAATGGAGAAAACAAATGCTATGTTAATACAAAGGCTCATGATCGTATTCCTATCACACATTAATTTACGACAATCAAGCAAGTATTACGATATATTTGTCTGCGGACTTTTAAAGCCGCATCTTTAAACCGATTCAGTTAAAGATGGCATGCATTATTTTATGCGTGTTAATACGAAATAAAGATTGCATGTTCAAACCAAAATACGAGAAAAGTCCTCCATTATTATTGTTGCTAAACTGTTCTCGTGTATTTTAAAGATTTGGTATAAACAAATTTATAATAGATGAAATGAGAGATAAAATAAAATAATTAAATTTTATACAAAGTTTAAATTATAAACACCTAAATTAAAAGCTTTCGTTTGTTGAAGTGCTATTTTTTGAGAGATGAATGGACTTCTATAGTATATGTCCACCACATACACTGAAAGAAAAAAAACGGTTGCAATTTAACTATAATTTAACTATAATTATAGTCCTCTTTTGCCATATATATATTTTTGATGGAACTATAAATGTAACTATTACCTATTATTAACATAACAGCAATAATAATTATACAAATAAAGCTTCTAACAATAATAATTCTATAGTTACAGTTTTCTCTCAGTGTATTCTATATAATGTTTCAAAACAATCAAGAAAAAGACGATTTAAGTGTAAATAAAAATCGACAGATAGTAATGATAACGATGACTCTTTTATGGCACGTCCTGTACATTCTCTCTACAGAAAAACAAGCAAACATGAGCCGATGTGTCGAGCGATGAACGGTCGATCTCTCGTGAAATATTGTCGGTGCCACGATTCGCAATATCCGAGCCGTCGACGGAGATTCGGGACGACGCGGCTCGCAGCGATCCGCGCCCGGGGGGGGGTTCGCAGCTTACGGGTAGGTACACTGCGCTTCGAGATGCGTCACGCACCAACAAGTACCCCCGCATAATCTGTAAGGGCGCGGAACGAACGCGATCGAGACTGGCTCGCTGACCCGGAAATAATCCCAGGAAAAGAAGATAGAGATAGGACAAATAGAGATACTCTTCTTTCTTTCCCCCTCGTGTTTGATAGCGCACGAGTACCTGGGGGATGCGGGGGGAGGAGCGGTATACTCGTGGTATTATGCCCCGCCAGCAACATATGCTGGCGTATGTGTATACCCGAGAGACCTCGCGGGTTATCCTGGACGAGAACGGACCGGACCACCGCGCGCCAACGGAGGTCGGGTATTGTCCGATTCGAGATTCGTCGAGAGCGATCGAACGGCTCTGACCGGGGTTTATTGGAGGCTACACGCGCTCATCTCGCCGATACTCGCGCGTCGGTGTTCGTTGTGTACATCAATTCGATCGTTTGGAATCTACCGTAGTGCTCTGAAGTGGGCGTCGTTGTGATCGTCAGCGAGAATTTTTATCATAGAGTATTCTTGCCCTCTCGGCTCGGTCAGTTCCGTACGCGAGTGCTGTAGAAAATTCTCCTTGAGAATGTATTACACGGTTCTTTTAACAAAATGACAAAATTACGGATTTTTCTATGTTGTATTTGTGTAAAAGTATAATATAAAAAGTTTAACGGTGACTTAAGAGTCTCGATAAAAAATTATGAATAGTATGTCTACATAAAGATTAAAGAATCAAAAAACATAGGATTATGTGAAATCTTATTTCATCCCAAGGAACAGACCAAGTCAAGACAAAGTCGAAATGATTTTATTTTGATGCTTAAAATCAATAAATAATCAAATTTTATAACCAAAAATCATCATTTTGACTCTGTCCTAACTTGATGTGTTCCTTAAGATGTTTTACTTTGATACTGTTTGCTCGTCATAATTCATGGCTATAAACATTTTCAAATTTAAGCGCTAAAGAGATTTAATATATAACTTATTTTTTGTTTAACAGGAAATAGATTACCGGTATTACTTTGTATTAAGCAAAGTAAGGTAAGACAAATCGAATTCCCGGTGAGGAATGGTACGATAACGCTGACTTATTCGCGCTTTTGTGTTCGCTGTAAAATCGCTGAAATGGGTTATCCGACGATTTTGGCGGAGCCCTTCGATTTACCGACGATGGCGAACTGGTTTGAAAGTGAGTTCGGTCGATGAGACCGACGTTTGAGAGGAAACGAGCGACGAGACGGAAAGCGACCCAGCATCGGCAGAAAGAGACAGGTGGAGAAAGAGAAAGATAGTGATGCCGAGTGAAAGTCCTGTAGCAAAAACCAGGCCAGGGCTTCGGGTATCTTGGCGCGAACACACTGTAGCCATTATGCAATTACGCGACGACGCATTTACCGCCGTCTTTTCGCGCATCGTATCGCTAAGATGCGACCGCGACCCCGTTTTTCCCTTTGCAATTTACGTCCTAAATTGCTAAAACTTTCCAAATTACTAACGCGGTCGCAATAAATGTTCGCACGATATCGCGATATTGTTTTTGTCGATTAACAATAACCTACCACTGCGACCAAATGCCGCGTGAAATAAAGCTGTTGACCTTATCTGATATCACCGGATTATCGTCTTTCTTTCCTTTTTACAACGTAACGTTCTTCCAATCCACGATACTTTCGGAGATATCAAACTGATCTTTCACGGTAACGTTTTTAAATAAAACAGTCCAATATGTATATAATAAGCACTTATAGATTTAAAAATCAATTATTTTAAATCGCATGTAAAATTCCAATGTTAATATTACAGAAACAAAAATACACAAAATGCAGGAAATCTTAAAGAATATTTGGCGTTCTTTCAAATCGCGAGAGAATAAGAGTGCACTGAAAGAATTTATTGCATACCGTCCTTCTCGTGCTGACGGTAGCAGATAAATCAAGGTTGTAAATTGCTTACAATTATAAGTTATATTAAATTTTAAGTCCTTGCTTCTCTTAGATTGTATCGCGCCAGACGTGCGTTTCGTGTATACAACATGTATAAATGTAACATTGATGCTGACTTTAGTCTGACCTTAGAAAGAAGGACGACAATATGAAAATACTCAAGTAACAAGCTGACATCATTATTTGTTAAAAAAAAAAACAAAAAAACGTCTAATATCGCGTCAAAATAGTGAGAAATATCAGCTGACTAATTTAAAACTGGATAACAACAATTCGTTCACATTTCATAGTATATAATCTTAAATCTCTATGCTATTTCTTTATATATGTTATGAATAGCTTGATCAGATAACGATTGTGAGGTAATACATCTGCGCAGAGAGAGAAAGTTAATGCGGATTGTACAGAAGGGATTTAGTGAAATTTACGTAATTACCAGGTATTTTTTGTTTTTTTTTTTTTTCGGGAGAGCGAGAGGCCAGTGCGAGTGTTCCATAAGGAAATTTCCTCGCATCCGCCTGTGCCACGAACGGAAGGCGACGTAATTTAAATCGCTATGTAATAACAAGACTTGAGATACGAACGTTACCGCAAAATAATGGGTGCGGCATAATAACAATAACTGTAGATAACTGCTTGCACTGCTTCTACAGCGCGATGCACCGCACGTGAATCCATTTTAAATTATTATATATAACTGTACAGCTCTTTCGAAGCACACGCCATAATGCCAGTCTATTATGAACTGAATAAATATATTAACTCTTACAATATGCGGAAAAATAACTGTTTGCGTATTCATATAATAGTATAATACAATATGTTATATACATTTCCATCTAAATGTTACAGTGTGTTTTGATATATTCTGACGCAATAATGCTAAACTGGATACACGAGCAAATAAAAATTCAGATTAATATCAGAAGTACAAATAAAATATGATAAACAGTTAGTCCATGATTTTATATATCCCTTAATTAATGATCAAGTAAAAAAACAAAATTTGAAAGAATATTTTATAAAAGTGTAATTAAAAATATATTTTATCTTAAGTCTTGTATTCTCAATAACAATATCAGGAAAAGAATTACAGAAACGTAGCATGAAAAATTACACAAATTTATATAAACAATTTTTTTAATTAAATTTTTTCAAAACTGTATTTCATATCAGAAAATCGATACCTGAAACATTATTTCAGAGAGCAAGCAAGAATTATATTATATGCGCCATTTTCTTCCTTGATCTAAGTTCTGTTTTTTATCGATAAAAGTGTACACTCTATGTACTTGAAGTAAATTAAATGCAACAAATGAATGCTTTTAATAGTCAAGTTGGATTTTAGGTGCTTAAACAATTCAATGTAAATTTTTATATATGCTACTAATATATATTTAAATTGTGCACAGAATTGAATTGAATGTATATTTGAAATTTGACAAAATGGTGAAAACAAGAAGAAAAGTAGTTCTGATGTAGACCAGACTGTTTTCAGAAACTCCATCATGCAGTGCATCCACACTGAGAAAAAAATAATTTATTTAACTAAATTGATTTAGTTTGTCTTTATTTCGTCCAATAAAGAATATATATGTACATTTTTTATCGACAAAAATAAAGAAGAATTAAATTAATTTAGTCAAATGAACAATATTTTCCTCGATACATGTATCATTTTGTTTAATGAACAAGGATAAAATGATACATGGGCGACCTTGGTGAAACTTCTGAACGCAGCCTAGTATGCAGTAATAAAAAGCAATAAAATCTTTGATTTTTCTAGACTAGCATGATGCCGCGTACTCCGTCACAAGTTCGACAATTGCATTGTACTCGTTGACCGTTATAATAATCGAAGGGACTTACCGAGGTGTAATGTGGCGAGAGAGAACAAAAGCAAACCGGAAATAACTCGCTGCGGCGTCGCGTCCATTTTTCGGTGGTTCCGGCCACTGCGGGTCGAGCCCTCTTCTTTTCCGTTACTGCTGCGGACGGCGGTGATGATGGCACATGTACACACACACGAACCACACGCGCGCACTTATATTCGATCTGCAATTCGAAAAGAACACCTCGAATGAGCCTCGCGTTGATCTTCCCCGCAGACAAATTTCATTAGTCACCACAGTGGCTTTTAATTTTTTTATACAACAAGAACTCTCTCTACAATACGTTGGCTAATTTAAATATTAAATTATTCTCAATAATTATGCGTGCAATGCGAACTGAAAGAAACCTCGGTTTGTTAATTAAAGGACTTTATCGCGACGTACTTAAACGTCGGGAAACAATCATGGGTCGACGATGAAAAAGACGTGATAGCGACAGAAACGATCTAAATCCTAAGAATGTAACATTGGGATAACTATTTTTATTTGTAATCTTAGACAACACGACAAGAATATTTGGAATAAAAAAAGATGCCGATACATCGACGAGATATTCGCAGCTCTTGATACGCGTCAAGTGATGTGAAGCGACTGTATTCAATAGCTCAATACGCACGAGGAGCGATCGACGACGGAATCGATGGTAACGATCTACTGGCTGAAAGCCGACTGAAGAGAAAATTCGACATCGATCGCGTGGCACACCTTTCTCGTGCGATCATGCGGCTCGCAACCCGTGTACGATCCGCTGTGTGTGTTACCTAAAGATCATATTTCTGCAATACAAAAGCTGTGATATTTTACAACACGGAAAGTTTCTTTTTACACGTAACGACCGATATATCTCGAAAAATTAAGTTACTATGTAATTTAAGAATTTATATTTATTTTGTTAAGCTCAATTTACGCTTGCCAATATACATGGGCTCTATCTCGATTTATTATATTAATTGCTGCAAATCAATTTTCTTTCCATCGTACACAGTAAGAATTGGGGCGATTTATGGGGGGACTACATACACAGTATATAAAATTCACACATAATTAAAATTCACACATAATTATAATAAATATTGTGATCCAGCTTTGACCGTTATTGGCTTGCTTCGTGCTTCCTTCTTATTGTTATTACAGTATACTTTATCAGACGGAACATTCTTGAAACATTCTGAGAATGTCTTTAGACATCTACAGGAACATCTTTTGGAGGTATGTACTTTAGACAGGACATTTGCGTTTTATACATCATGTTACGATTTCTCCTGACATTATTGTTATTATTCTCGGTGTACTAATTATCCCGCAGTGTGGAGTGTAATCACAAAAAGATCCAGAACTAATTAAAAGATAGGAAATATTTAAAATTATATTAGTTTATATATATATATATAAATAAAACATGTTTCAACACATAAATGAGATTCATATATTTGATGGGTCAAAATGGGTCTTGGTGCTCAAAATATTTTTTAGTTCAAACAAATTGCGATTATTTGTTAACCTTGAAACACAGTCTTAAACTGAAGCTGGAATATTTGTAATATATCACAAATTAATTGCCTCGGTAGTCTCTTCCGGCCGAGATAATATTTTTCTTAATAAGAATTAATTATTTACAGATTTTAATATGTCGTTCAACATTATTAAAATTGATCTAAGATGCGTAAAACGCATCAAAAATTCTTAAATTCTTAGTCAATTTAACTCATATAATATTACTGTAGTTTAGTAGTTTGCGTTTCAAGATCGAAAAATTGTTCAGCGCGCGGTTTAAAAGACTACATTCGTCGTAGTATATAAATTCACACGGCATTATACAAGCACCTAAAATCCAGCTAGATCATTAAAGGCTTTGTTTCTCATTGATTATGTTTCTCACATGTATGGTCAACTTAATTAGGATATTTAAGATTTAATATTACAAATTAAATTGTCAAATAATTTAATATTACTGGTGCTAATAAGCATCTTCAAAATAAAATAAAAGAACTATTGTGAACCAAATAAGATGATCCTTAATCGCTTTTGTGAACTGAAATATTAATAGAAACTCTATGGCACGTACAACCTTTTTCTTATTAAAATATTTATTAGGATGTCATTTTTAAAAGAAATATTTTTATTTTTTTTCAACGAGACTCGCGGGATGTGTTTAAAGTTTTTCTCTTCTTTCCTTTCAATATGAAAAGAAATGTGTAACGACGTATATATATAACACACATGAGAATCTAACTTCTATTCTGATTTTCAATTTGACAATCGAAATTTTAGTGTAAGCTTTTTTTTGTAAGCAGTTTACTTTCATGATAAAACAGCCGCATATAACAAAATTTATTCGGTATATTTATACGAGATCTACGAGAAGGACTCACCATATTTTTTCAAAAAAAGTCTTTTTGTATATCAGATCTGATATTCAAAATATAGTAACTTGTTTTTCTATACAACTTTTTAAATATCAGACATGATATACCTACAAAAAGTCTATAATGAATGACACAAAAGCACAAATTGGAAATGTTATTATGACGTTATCGAAATCTTGTCGACCAATGATATTAGTCTTCGAAGATATAATTTTATGAAGACTTATTTTTTCCGATAAATGTCCTATTAAATCTGACAGGCTGTGCTTGTATACAGATAGTATCACTGTTATTCATAAAATCGCATATACACGAGAGAAATCGGTCTATATTCATAAGGTATTTCGAAGTGCTTTGCAAGCATCCGCTGAAGTATATTTCCTAGCTAGGTACTATATACTGCAGCAAACAGGAATTTATGTGTTAGCGCATCTGGCAAACAAGAGCTCATGCTAACATGTTTGGAAAGTCTCATTACCTAAATTTACTTGCCTGGCACGGTATACGTTATACGCCAAAATTGTAGAAGAGAGAGAGAGAGAGAGAGAGAGTTAAGTGTAACGCAACGCAACGATTAAAATGTCATTCATGTCGTCAAAGAGCAATTTATTCACGCGCCGTCTTCAGTATCGTTCTGCGACATACAAGTTTATTGAACTTCGATAGAATAAGAGCAAAATGTAATTAGCAAAAACAATTTTATAGACTTCAATAAACTATTATACAAGTCCGGAGATCAAATTTTTCAGTAATAACAGAATTTTTAAGGAAATAATATAATGTGTGACGTTCGAATATTTCAAAAATGTAAAATAAAATAAGATTCGCGCGATTTTGTGAGTAAAAATCTATCTCGTATTTTACAACTTGGTATAAAAAATAGAAGATATATTATAAATTATACTTTCCTTTTCTGTAAACAATATTTTTTATCTTTATGCCACTAGATACTAACATCGAAACTTTATTCCAAATTTCGTCGTTGTTTAGATTGTCGGATTACCGTAAATATATCGCACCATAATAATTATACCAAATTTCAAGTTATATGTCCTTTTGAACATAATCTCTTTTTATCTCTTTTTATCTCTTTTTATTTCAAATGATTATGAATGAGTGTTATAGAAATACTATTACAAAAATAAAAAATCACATTCTTAAATACAGTAAATCTTTTTTCTTTAATATACCGATAATACGATAGAATCAATTCATTGACAAATTTTGGCTTGTTTTCAGCATGTCTCACATTAATCAAAATAAAATTATTTATCGTTGTTTGCTCCTTTATGATTACACATATAATTTTACATCGCAATAGAAAAGTTTAATAGATGTTCTCAAGTATCGCAAGTCTTCTCGTATAAATTTTTCACGTTAATCACTTGCTTTCTTTTCGATGCAAGACATTATATATTTTGTATGTACCAATTTGTCATCACTATACTCCAATTTTTTCTATTTAGTAAATATTTGCTCATATTCCGTTTACATTTTATCTTCTTATAAGTTCGTATTTTTTATTTATCACCAAAAATGGTTTCAAATGTTACTAACGTATATATATTTTGCCGGTTAAAAATTTTTTTTAATTACTGTAGTTATCAGAAATTACGCTAATTTGTAATTATGCGGTTTTTTTTTCATTATAAGTATAATTTTAATGTGCTTGGTAATTTGCATTTCTCACGAATTCACTCATTCACAGCTCAATATATGTATACGTATAATTATTACGCTGTCACTTTATTTTCATGAATTTCTCATCGCAATAATGAAACATCGTGCATTGATATATCCGTAAATTCGGTAAATCCATAAATTTATAAAATATTGTTCCTGTATAGTTCCATAACGTGTTCGAACAGCTTAGTTACTGGAAATTCGAGAAGGTCTTTACACACCGATTAATTTGGATGCCTTAACATACAATCACGTTTAAATCGTTATGCAATAATACACTCTTCAGTTTATTAAGAATTTCATATCTTTATTGATCGCTAAAGAATTAATTTCTACAGTGGCAAAATAATTTTATGAGAACATGCTAAATTATCACGAAACGATCGTAAAATATAAAATAGCTAAGAAACTAACTTATTTGATGTAGCAATAATCAATTTTTAATATAACACTAACTTGTCTCATACACAATTTATAAAATGTAATCGACTGTGGTATAACGTACGTGCACCGCCAATAAAGAGCAAATTAAAGAAAAAAAACAAGTCGCAGAATTTATTTATTATACAGACAGATGCATAAACGTAAATCAAACTTTTACAAAATTTAATCGAAAAGAATTCACGCAACTTTAGACATGCTAACACAAATCAAAAATACCTACTGTGTTGTACCGTTTGAAATACCATCGCGCGATCACTCCTCGATTGCTATCGAAGCATGTTCTTCGTTTTAGAAGAAATCGGAGAAAGTTTACTTTGATCTCAAATTCTTTTCGCGAATGCTACAATATGAAGTTTCCGCCATCATCAGACTATTCTCTGACACGCGATAGTTACTAGATCATTCCGTCAGTATATACGATACACAACGCATTTTGACCAGACCCGGAATAATAAAGATTCATCCTCTTCGCGCTGCCACGTAACCGATCTTTCCATGCACATCGGTCCACATTAGCGGAACTATTCTTACGTTCACCGACATCTCTCTCCGCGCACACAGCACACCATACGACGTGAATCCGCGCTAATTTTCACCTGGCGACCCAACCCTCTCGATCATGCATCCCTACATATATTCCGTCACTCGATGAACTCCTGGGCCTGCACCCTTCATCGGCGATTATGTCACCGCGCTCACGTTCGCGGCTGGTGCTCCGCGGTCCTTCCTCGCGCGCGCGTTATCTTCTCACAGAGCGGGAACCCTGACGATCCTCCTGACCTGATCGGGCTATACGCACGGCGCGGTAGCAGCAGCAGCGGAGCCGGCGCCGAGAGGCCACCACACACCACGGTGCCACCACCGTGGGACGCGCGTTTTCGTGTGGATGTGGAAGGACTGACAGTGGCGGTGGCGGCGGCTCGGCACTACTCGCGAACTCGCGCCGTTCAGGAGCGAGTATACGCGTTCCCCGGGACATGTATTGGCGGGTAGGAAAGCTCCACCTATCGCGCGACCAAGTGGGAGGGCACAGGAAGATCCGGAGCTTGCGCCCTCCGACTGGCCCGCGCACCAAGCACAACCCCTTCCTTGGCTTTTTCCCAACTTTCGAGCTTGTGGTGCGCCCTCGTCTCTCGCCCCCCTACCCCCACCCCCATCGCCTTTCT